CAGGCAGTGCAAATCTCCTTTAATGTGGAGCTAACTCCATTTGCTGGAGAAATAGCAGGGAACAGTTGGTAAAAACTCTTGGAATGGGCACAATTCAGCCTACAATTAGCAGGCTCCTTTTGATGGATGCTTCTTGCTAACAACCTTTACATTATACAAAGCTGGTCCTGGGTGGCCAATTTTAACATAACAAAAGACTGTAATTAGAAAAATTTCTTCTTGATCCTGGGACAGGTAAAGGGAAGGGAAGAAAGGGAAAGGGAGAAATGGAATGGGGAAGGAAAAGAGGAAGGGGAAAGTAGAGAGGTTGTGGGAGAGAGAAACCAGCTTTTCCTTTTGCACAACTAAGGGCTGCAACTAAGTGTGGAGGGGAGAAAAAGACATCTGTTGTCAGCCAGATAGAAAAGACCACTGTTGAGGAAAAAAGTTTCAAGTGTAAAAGCAGTCAAAGGCCATGGCTTGGGGCACCTCAGTTTCAGCCCCTTCCTAGTTTATGGGATCCAAGATCCAGAATCCATTTGGTTAATAGTTTACTTTTTATGTTCCCTTGGAAATATTTTTTCCTAAAAAGGAAATGTATGAATTGCAATGCTCTTGTATATAATAACAAATATATTTTGCACTACACTGACAAAACAGCATATAAAACTGATTAGGCTTCTGCCGTGTCCTCAGCCCTTTAACTTGTAAGAATTGAAACAAATTGACAAGTTTTTAGAATGATCTTAGATAAATCAAGAAGGAAGTTCTCTGCATTAGCAAAAGAGATCACGAGAGGGGAAAATGGTGAAGGCAATAGGCTAAGAGGCTGGTAATGCACTGTCACTATTACCAAACTTTACCATTAGACTTAGCAGTGAGTGCCGTGAAGCTGGGTAGCTGCCGATGTGAAAACATCAGAAGAGGACTCACCAGTGCTATCATTGTTCAAGAAGTCAAGAATTCCTCCCTGCAATTTAAAAGTTAAAGTAGCACGCACAGTCTCTTTTCTAACACTTTGCATAGACATGACCTTTACAAGGGAAAGGTGTCATGCTTCATGGTCCATCAATTGATTTAAGAGCATTTAAAGCCCCATTTTTGCCTTTCATGCATGTGCACCCACAGCAGGAGACAGTCCCAAAAGTGATTTAAGTGGCATGTACAAATTCAGTCTCTGATATCACAGCCGTTACCACCAGCCATTAGCTAGTAAGGGTAATAAACCAGTAGGCTTCAAATGTGGTTGTGGGGTACTTCCTCCTAGCTTCCCCTGTGGCATGGATGCTGTATTACACAATCTCACAGTCTGCCAAGACAGGCAGAGGTTAGCCGTAGCAGTAGTAGTGACGAAAGGACGGCAGCTCTTGGTGCTGGGAAAGGCCAAAGAGCAGTGCCAGACTTTACAAAAGCTCCGTGCACATCTCCCACTGATCCCCCCCCTTTCCCCCCACTGTGGCTACTGCTTCACTGCTTCTTCAAATCCCTGGGCTCTATGTAACCTGGAATAAAGACCACTGTAAGTTGGAAAGGACAACCTCCTGGTAAAGAGAGGACACAAGTTCCTGAAACTTTTGATGTAAAGTCTGATGGATCTTGCCCAGATTAATTCTGACTTAAAAAAAAAACCCATCTGCCAGCTTCTGTCACATCTTGTCAAAGCATTCATTCTATGACAATATTGTTATTTTAGTTGATGTGAAGTACCCTGAGTGATGTTGCATTGGGGAGGTGTGTGTAGGAATGTTTTATATCTAAATGAATGAATGACCCCCTGTTGCTCATGAATTTCACTGTACTCTGTGATGAGTGATGTCTGCCCTGATAGTAGTGTTTAGAACTGCTTACTACAAACAAATATATGTATCCCATTATATCTAAATATATATTATTTCCTTCCTGCCCTCCTGCCCTGTGTGACATGCCATTCCCTATGTAATGGCAGTGATCCATATGGGAAGCAGTTTAATTAAATGTACCATGTACCTTAATTTAGAGAGTATGTTGTCTAACACAGCAATCCATGGTGAACATGCTAGCTTTATCTTCCAGAATCGTTTACCAAACGTGGATATTCAGAAGCATCAGTGCATCATTTGCAATATCTGTGCAAATGTTCAAGTTCTCTTCCTGAAGGAAGGCTTGTGGTTCATTGGTAGACTTGCTTTGCATGCAAAAGGTCCAAGGTTCAATCCTGGTAGAATTAGGAAATAATACTGTCTGAAACCCTGGAGAGCTGCTGCCAGTCAGGGTTGACAGTGGTAGGTTAGATGGACCAAGGATATGGTTCAGTATAAGATGGATTCTTGTGTTCCTAATGTCTCTTTGTCCAAAAGCTAGTTAGGCTTATGAAGTTGCTTTGTTGCATTAGGCTCACTGGAAGTTGCTTTGTTACATTAGGCCTACGTTTTCATTGTTGATTCCCTCCACCCAAGCTTTGCTTTAAGATGAACTGGCTTACAAGATTTGAAATACGAGTTTAAATACAAAATGAAAGGAAATGGAAAGCCCTAATTCTTGCAAGTATAACCTATGGGGGATATGCCATGTTAGTGTTCCTTTCTGTATCCAATCCATATTGTATGCAACAGCTGCACTCCAGTGCCAGTTGGCAAATGATAACAGAGGAAGGGAGCTACATAGGCAGTAAGCAGCATTTCAGTATTACAAATGTTACATTTACTGCATAAGGCTTTTATGTATGCAGATAACTTCTGATAATGAATGAGGTGAGTCATCATAAATGTATTTTTGGATGGAGGACATAGGATGGCGAGAACAAATATCTTACGTGTGTTAACACGTGTAATTAATTTCTGAGATGCCCTTCATCTCATTCACTGAGAGCCATTGTGGTTTAGTGAGTACACTGCTGGACAGGGCAGACTTGGGTATAAGCTACCTGGGTGATTTTGGGTCACTGACTCTCAGTTCAACCTTTTGTGTGGATAACATGATGAAAAGAGGATCACATGTGCTCCCTGGTGGAAAGGCTATATATAAATATTACAAACAAACATATAGACAAATGCAAATCCATCCCCCATTCCAGACATTGACAACTTTATCCTGAAGGAGTGGATGATAGAAAAACTGATCTTTAAGGACAGGGACGGGGAAATTACTGGAAACAAGTTCCAACAGTAAACTGTCTTCTAGTTTGGTGAGGGAAGGAAAGCACTGCTGAATGGACCAGCAGGTAGGTGTGCAAATTGGTTGGCACTGTGAGGAAGGTTTTATACAAGCCTTAGCAGTAGTGTGGAGAATGATGCATGGACTTGCTGCAAGGGCTGGGGATAAATCATTTGCAGCCAACACTGTGCGGCAAAGGGATGGCAAGTGTTAGGACGCCTGAAGTAGGGTAACTTTTGCTTATTGCAAACTTCTTATTTATGCGAGTTAACTCTGAAAAGAATTTCTTATAAGTTGCTGTCAGTCAGGATGAACCTCTTGACTCTCCCTACCCTGCCTAGGATCCCTCTCATTAGCCAGATCTAGGAAGAAAGATAAGTGCTTTAGACTTTTTCCCCCAAATCCCAGAAACAGAATTTCCCTAAACTTTGAAATCTTAAAACAGAAATAGTAGTTTTGAACCCATGTTGTCCTTCATAGGAGGAAGAGTTCACTGAGAAATACTGTTAAGAACAACATAGACAAATTTAAAAGTTTATGGGGGCTGGAGCAAAACAAGCTGGGGTTGGGACAGAAAAGGCAGCAAGCAGACACAGAATTCCAAATAAAATAAAAGTCACTCTACATTATTTGTTCATATTATCTGCTTGCGTAGAGACTTGGATCCCAAAGCAGATGCCAAGTTTATTTCAGGAAGGATGGTCAGAGCGAGAGTGAGAGAGCAACTAGCTTCTGATTAGATGGCATATAAGAAAGCTTCAGAAGCGCTAAGGGAATCTTTTTATGATGATTTCTGTTCAGTGTTAGCCAGCCCCTTTGCAGAAGCTAATGGTTGGTCATCAGCTTCTGCAAAGCTGTATATCAGAAAATTACATAGTTAACAGCACCTTAAAAGTCAAAACCCCAAGGCAATTGGACCTAGTCAGCCTACTGAAGAAAATGGATTAAGGCTTTGTTCACATTTTGGAGAACAAAACAGGTGACATAAGGCTGGGTTACCTAGCAGGGTGCCAACTGAACATGCTTTTAGGGGGAAATGTAGGGTCACTGCTTTAGAAGCAGGTATTTGTCATGGGGTCTAGGAAGAGACTGAATGATAAGGGAAGATGTGGTTGTTTACCCCAGAACATACTGGTATACTCTGTAGCTATCTTGTTTCAGCACATTGGAAAAATAATTTAGCACCTTAACTTAGATGTTCCCATTCATGGGATTTCTCATACTGTCATTAGAGGCATGTATCGTGACACTGTAGCTGCTGGGGGAAGCACAAATAGATGGTTTGAGCTGGGAGCAGTATTTTTTAGCCTCATGTACTGAGGTCTCCAGGGCTTTGGCACAGGATAAAGACATTCTTGTTACTGCATCCCGGCTGGAAATTCCATCCCTCTGAGAGAAAAACTGGAGAGACTGCGTAGAATATATGTGTGAGTGCTGTGTGTGAGAATATAAAATGATCATTTCTGTGAACGTGTTTGCGCCTCTGCTTGTACAGTTTAAACTGGTTCTAAAACTAATGGGTTGATCCTAAGCTAACAAAAGTTACAGTGGAATGCCTATGTACATTTTATTCCTAGAGAGACCCATTGAGTTCATTGTTTTTCGTAATGAATAGACCACAGTAATGGAGTAAATTCTTTATTGATATGCTGCCTTGGTGATTTTGAGGGAACGGTAAAAGTAGATTCCAAGGATAAGTTGATCGATATAATTATAGCAGTTTCTCACCCTGAATGTTTCTGGGAATTATAAATTAGCTACTAAAAGCAATGCCAAAGAGGTTGTGGTCCTTTAAAATCTTTGACATTGGTAGTCATTAATGAGCTGTAGTTTGTGGTCAGTATGACTTGAAATGATTTTGATTTTGTTTTTGTTTTCTTCCCTCATAGCTCCTCATTGAGAAGTGTATCGTCCGGTTCCTCAAGGCCTTCCAAAGTGTGTTTGGTGTGTGGGGATGAGGCATCTGGATGCCATTATGGAGTTGTTACATGTGGCAGCTGTAAAGTCTTCTTCAAGAGAGCAGTGGAAGGTAAATCCTCATGTGGGTTCTTATTTTATATTTTTTTCTGATAGGATTATAAGAAATTTTCATTGCATGTTCCACAATGCCTTTAACTCACTTGATGTATTCATCTTCTGATTTATATGAACAAATACTTGGTTATAATTTGTTGCATGCCTTTAAAGTTTAATTTTAATTCAAACAATTCATAATTCTAATTATTTAAAATCCTGATTCATTTTTCTACTAGACCTAAAATAAATAATTCTCTGTTGCTACAAATAAACATGTCCAAACCTTTCACAAGCTAGAGGGGAACGCTGGGTAGAGACAAGCAGATGATGCACCCAACTGTTCTTCAGAGTCTCTAAATAATAACAAGTGCAGCTTAAAGCTAATTTATGCATGATAGTTATATAACTGCAAACCCACCCTTTTAAGATTGATATGCATTTGAACTTTCCTTCTTAAAAAAAGTTGATGGGTCTGTGGAGCTGTGTAGTTTTCATGAAGAATCTGGGAACATCAATGGGTTACAGGCCGCTCAAAACATTTAGAACAGGATGTTTCAAGTGCACACATCTTTACCTTTCTTTCAGAAAATAATTATTCCACATTTTTCCCTATTCCTTTTTACTTCAGTTGTCCGACCTCCATTTGACAATCCTATCTTTTCACCTTGACAATTTCCTTGCCATCCCCACCTCTTTTCCTGTTCTCATTCTGCATGAATACACCTTCTCTTTTGTACTCTTTCCTCCTTCACTGTAGTGAATTGGTTCATACCATTCAGCTATACCTATCAGTTCCTATGGGAGGGAACTGAATAATTTAGTTTTGAAAGCCCTCTGTTTCTTTGCTTAACCCAAGGAAATGTTGCCAATTTTCCCACTGGCAATGGGATAAAAATGATGAAACAGAGATCTTTCATACAATTTCTCTTTGAGAAAATACTGCTTCATATAGAGATTCAAGTAATATCATTGTTAGCAGCTCACTCTTGTACAGATCTTTTAGAATTATTATGCAAAGGTTAGTGATGATAACATTTTTGCTGAGTTTGTCTGCCAACTTATTTTCAAATACTGTGGAATACAAAGTATCTCCAGGTATTTGGTCAGAACTTGGAAGTCTGCCAAGCTTATTGCTCCTGCAACTGTGTTGTCTGCATTTGCGTCCCTTTTCCTACAGGTTTTATATCTAAAAAAATAAAATACAAACTTACATGTGAAAGATATGGGACCTTTATAATGCATTTTCTTAATTCTATGAAGACTGAAGGAAAAGATCAGGTTCAGAAGCCATGGATCTTCCTAGAGAAAAAGAAATTATGAAAGCATTTTGAAGAATATTTATTGAGAGGGAATTGGGTGTGAATAAAATGAACATGAGTTTAGGCTATCTATTGTATGTACAGTTATTCTGGACTTTAATTCTGTCTGTGTCCTTATACAGAGGCATATCTTTCTGAAATCTGTGAAGCTGACTTAAAATATGTTTGTATAGGATTGAAGTGTTCTGATGTATAATGATGATGTTGAAAAGCTCAGCATTATACTAAAGTTTAACTGACGATCTGAACATACTGTTCCTTGTTTAGTCTGTAGAAATGTTTATTTTATAGCATGTCTCTTAACAAGCAGTTTGTTTTTCATATGCCTCATAATCCTGAATTCTATTAATTATCATTAATCATTTGCAAGCCCAAATAATGTAAATTTATTTTGCTCACTGCAGTGTTGATACTTGATTTCCAAGTTTGCCCCAGCACTAGCATCAGTGATGTTGCCCTAGTGTAAAGGAAGGTTCATGCAATGTAAATAAGCACTTGCTAGGGCAATGAAGAAATATGGCAACTTGATGTCTAATTTTTTTGGTGGAACCACAATTTGGCCATAACTTGCTGCTCCTTTGCATTAACCAATTAAGCACATGTTTTGTAGAACCTTATCACAACATCTCTGCATTGAGTGCTGAAGCACCAAAAACACTGGACAGCTTTTTTCACACTTTGATGCAGTACTTTGGATAATTAGTTATATTTGACTTAGTACACTTGGAATACAAAATCATTTTGTTTAAAATTTTAGGAAAATATCAGACAGAGTTTATTATTAAAATACAGTTTAAATATTTTATTTGTAGAATCAAATTTGTGCTTCACTTCATGGATTGTGCCCTAATACTTAAGAGTCGTATTTAACATGTATTTAATATAGCTTTTAAAGAAATAATGCATATATATCAAGATTAACATGGTCTGCTCTAGCTTGAAGCTATCTTAGAGTACAGTGTATATATGCCATAAAGGCATCATAGGTGACATTAACAATGTAATTTCTACCAAATTTCAGAATGGCTGGTGTGGTAATTAAAACTAAGCAAAAAAGCAAATGTAAAATTTGTATTTTTGAAAGTACATTTTTCTGAATTCTCAAAAGGCAGATTTCCGAAAGTTCAGTTGAACTACCTTTTTATGTGCATTCTGGCATGTTTATTTTAGTCTATATCATTTATTAACACAACATTTTACATTATGCTTCTCTGTGCTCACCTATTAATTCAGCACTGCTGGAACCAGTATTTTGCCACTGGAAGCTGTAGTTTCTTTTGATTCATTTGTCAAGGCCAAGTGTCTCTTGGAATCCCACATTATTTTATCTGACCATCCAACTTTATTACAGAATTTGTACATTTGCAGATACCTCTCCCCTGACATATGCCTGCAGTGTTATTAAAGGTATTATTGAAGATAATAAGGGTTGACTATATTTAGTGCATTTCCAGTGGTTTGAATCATGATTATTTCAAGTCCCATTGAGTTCAGTGAATATAAATATGACCAAGACTGTATTAAAACATATTTTCTATGCCAGCAGTCAATGCTATCATTGACTGTTCATATCCATCAGAACTTAACATGTTCTTTTAGGAAAGAAGTATTCTGCAGTTTCCTCATGTAGCTCAATATAAATGAGAGTGCAACCAAGGCCAGTAGTTGTGTATAAGGATGTCATGGGAGAGACAAATCAAAGTTCAGGTTCAGCCCTTTCTTCCATTGCTCATTTCTTTCACTGTCAACCTTTAGACTGAAAGTTCTTCAAGACAGGAAGCTATATTGTTTGCTATATTACTTTGAAAGGGGATATGTAAGATGATAATGCTATACTTTATAAAATTGCTAAATGTTCCACAGGAAAGAGAATGAAAATTTCAATAAAACCTAGCAATACTTACAGCAGGCAACTTAACAGGTTCTTAATTATGAAGTGTTTGGTTGTTGTTATGGCTTTGTGTACTACATAGCAAATAACGCAATGTACATGGAAGTTTAGACAGGATTTTGGAGTATAGTACACATAGAATAAAACAGTCTGTTGCTTTGGTGGATGGAATAAATTCCTAATGGATAGAGAGAGTAATCCTCTGGTCCTTTATTGAGCATGTCAGGATGGTTATGAAGACCACTTCTGAGGTAGGAGACAGTGTTCCAACCTGACCCCAACCCTTTGGAGCTCGTGTAGAAAATACTGTGCAGCCTCTGAGGCTGAAGAGATAGGGAGAAGGAGACATTCTGCTATTTTGACTGCTCTAGCCTCCTTCCACCCCACTTTAGAGAATTCCTGCTAGAGAGGCTGAGAAACCCATCCAGAAAAACATAGATTGGAGGACAAGGAGGCAGCCTCTGTGTTTTCCTCCACCTGCTATCTAAGTTAGAAAAAGAAGCTAAAATTGGAGCTTTTGCAGCAAGATTTTTTTAAAGTTCCAGTTAAGTGTAGAAAATAGTATCTAGAAAAATGCATTGTAGAATTAGAAGGAGTGCAAAATCTGAAGAATATCTAATCTAGGAAGTGCAAATCAAGTTAGTTTGCTCAAGATGTTGAGTGAATGAAATTCTCAGACATCACTGATACTGAAGACTCCAAGATCATGGTTCTTTGGTGCTTGGACATCCATGATAGGCGACTCAAGGCTGTCATGGTACTGTAACCATGAACTGCTCAATATCATTGACTTTAAAATACTTCGTTAACCATGCTTCATGGTGCAATTTAGTCTTGCTGTGACTTACTCCTTTGGCAGGGATGGTTGACCTATTAGAACAGTACAAGGACTGATGGATCCACATAGATGTCTGAGTTCCCTTGTAGAGTTTCCAGTTAGCATGGCTGGTGTGCCTGTCAATACCCTAGTTGCTCTGTGTGATGTGAAAATGGCTCTGGCATTTGACAAGATTGCTGCTAAGTGCTTGCTCTAAGCAGTAAGATAGAACTAGTTTGTCCCTTTGGTTTAGCAGATGTTAGGAGTCATAAAGTAACGAGACAATGGCTGGAATTCAGGTGGCAGAGAACTCAAAATGAACCCAATCACACCTAAGTGGGATCTTATTCTACAGTGGTAATGGCAGTGCTGAAACAATATTCTTTTTGTGTGGTGCACTTATCATTCTGCATTTACCAGGCTGTCCAGTAGAGTAGTGCATGGCCTTTTCCAACTTGACCAGCAACTGAATGCTAGAAGATTCTTTGAAAGATCCAGTGTGACTTTATTTGCTAAGTACTTGGAAGTTAAAATTGCTTGCACCTATAGTGTTTTGCACGTTCCTGCAGTGTTACCATTTAATATGTCCAAATCATTGGCTAGTCACCTGTTGCTGAATGAATTTCAGTTATGGAGACCTCAGGATACAGACAATGTGTTTGTTCAGTTGGTACAGCCTGCCAGAGGAACAGAATTGGTTTGTGTGGTGGGTCCAGGAAATAATATTACTTCCTTTTGAAAGAAAGTGGACCAAAGCACCCTAAAGGGCTCTTAGCAGTTGTCTGCCAGATAGTCAGTGTATCTGGGGGCAAACTGTTCAAGCAGATGATTGAAGCAAGCCCAGACAGTCTTTGATCATATTGATTAATCTGGATCCATTACAATCTGACTTCAGGATATTTTCCCTCCTTCCCTCTTTCCCTGGATCACTGAGAAGGCTATTCTAGGGTTAAGCTAGAATGCCTAGGATTTCTACTATTGTCAGAATTGTTCCATTG